GAGGACACTCTAGGCTACATACCCATGCAAGAAAACGATCGGGTTTCTATAAGACTTTCGGAAGCTCTGACCTGGTTTTTCAAAGATCTTCTGAAAAACCAGGCTGTGAAATTTTTTTGAAACTTGTTTTTACTTATGAAAATATGACTTTAAGTGTCCTCTATACGATGGTGAAAACCGCAGGCCGCTAAGATCTTTCGTTAAAAAGTTATTTGAAAAACGGCAACCGGCACGACCTTTTCGTTTCGATAGTAGTTGTTTGATGCGTAGAAATTAATAGACAAAATGAAGAATTTTCATATTTTATCTATTCACAGCTGTTTTTCAGTGGGAATTTTCTCACTTGATAAAAATTAGGAGACATTCGGAAAAGAAGAAGAGAAATTTTTCGTTCTGTTTTCCATCTGTTTCTCACATCTTTGTCAGTTTCGGTAAAAATATGTAAAACACTTTTAATTAAAAAAGAAGCGTTAGCTTTGCTGTAGGAGACAATGGATATTTTCTATTATCTTCACATTACCTTTTACTATTCAAAATTGATAATCGTCTCTTTTCAGATACTATTGGAAAAATTCATGTTTATGTTGACTTTTAAAGTGACTAACGAAGTCCTCTGGAACAGAACTAACCAAAAAGCAATTTTCTCAAGTTCAGAAGACGTTGATAAAGGCCATTGGCCTCCTGCTGGTTCCTTTCCTTTCTTTCTCCCGTCCAAGTGAAGATGAGCGAGTTTCTGTTACTATTGTAGCATATTCTTTGTCTAAAAGACTTAATAGTGTCACAGTGGTATTTCTCCTCAAACTCTAGTACTGAAGACTTTGTCAGGCTCTATTTTCTTTTGATTTTTGAGAAGATAAACTTTTTATTTTAACAAAAAAATGTCTAAGCATACTTTGTAAGGACAATTAAAAAATGTTGAGTTGAAATGTGAAGAAAGGAGGAGGAAAGCCCTCAGATGATAAATTAATTAGCCTGTATATTAGCCAGAAACGTTACACACAAACAGATTACATGTCATTGAGCATGAGAATAATGATATGATTCGGCTACGGCTTTAAAAAGTTTAGGTTCTTTCGTCAAATGTTCAACGTAAATGCGTTTGTTCGACAAAGAATAATTAAATAATTGTTTATCTTGAACAGAGATCTGGTCGTATTCGTTTCGACGAACAAGAGTTAGTAAGGGACCACCATTCGAAAAACCTGTGTCGGCGAGAATTTTACCGTTAGTCGGGATGGAAGGAACCGTATCTACTAGAGCTCTTGAGTGAGTGCGTATGCGAGAATCGTGCACCAAACCAAGGTAGCCCGTATTAAAATAGATCAATCGTCGATCAGTTGAAACAATATAGATCGACGCGATGCAATGATTCTTCTTCTTTCCACTGTAAAATAATCGTTGATATTCACCTATAGAAAAATACATCTGTTTCACAGTTGTTTCTCACCAGAAAATACGTACTTGGTCTTTTGATCGTGTGTCTGGTTCCATCAACTGAACCAATATATCGTCCTAATACTAGATGAAATAATGTAATTTTCTTCATTTCATTTGCGCTGGGCCGCACAATCAGATGGCTCAAAGTTTTCACGAGAATTGGAAAATAGAATAATCTGATACGACTGATTTGATAAGGACTGACATCGAACATGACACCGAGCACGCTGTAGGCTGGATAATGACGGAGCCAAATCAGCAATAATAAAAGGATATTAATGTTGAATCTTGAATTGTGTATTCTCTGACGAAAATAGTCATTTTATGAACCATATGATCATGGCTGATAAATGTTGTTGAACTCATCAATTGTTGTGTCCAGTGAGGAAACAGAATCTACGAGGAGTAGACTGTAGCTCGTCATATAAACTACGAATTATTGTTCGTTCAAATCTGTCAACGGGGAGCATTAATTGATAGTTGGATAAAGTGGGTAGAAGAGGAAGTAATTGAAGAATTCGTTCACATTAAGATAATAACAAAAATAATCGTCTGTCTTCGTCTACTTGATAATGAACAAGATATGCAAGAGTGTTAATGTAGTGTATTGTAATATCTTTTCACATATGTTTTTACAAATTTTTCTTCAATATTGTTTGCCTTTCGTTCTGCTGTGCTGTGTTTTGATGGTCCCAAGACATTATCGATTAGTCACGGCTGAAGAACATGAAATTGGCACCAATTTAGCTGTGGATTAGGACAAAATTTGAAACTAAAATTCGTCAATTGATTATTGAAGGACTATCATCATCATCAGCAGTCGACCGTAAACAACTTTGGCGTCAATAATCTTGCCTCAGTTTTCTCTGTTGTTTGCAGCTGCTCATAACTCGTCGACCGATGGCGGCGTGTCACTGTTGATGAGCTTGCTGATGTATGCCGGATATAATAGACGCGGTTTACCCTGTTTTCGTTTGCCGCGGCTTTCTTTGGGCGAATAGAGGACGTACTTGTTAATCAGCTCGTCTTTTTCTCTTCGCAGGCAATGGCCATCGTATCTGAGTTGCCGCCGTTGGAGCTGTAAAAGTAGGGGATCGATTCCAGTTGTCTTGTAGATTGTTTGATTTGATACCTTATCCAAGCGTTTGATGTTGAGCATGATTCTGTAGCAGCTCGTGGCGTAGCTGTTAAGACTTTGTTCGAGCTTACTGGTGATGATCCAGCTCTCGCAACCGTACAGAAATATTGAGAGACATGCTGCTTGGAATATATTTGTTTTGAGATGGATGGGTATGGTTTTCGAGCGGAATATGTCCTTCATTTTCCAGAAGGCGCCCCAAGCTAGTGCTTTGCGAAGGCTGACGTCGCTCTCACTTGACAGGACCATGGAACCTAGACTCTATCGTTCAACAAAAACATTCTTCAATACACTACACTATACAACACCAACAGCACATTGCTTCAATTTGTTAATACTATGTACAAAACTTCAATAGCAGTTTTCTTTAAGAATGAAATAGTCTGAGTCAAAATTAAAGTTTTGAAAAGGTTGACGAATGATGCTAATTCTGATGGTATTAATATTGCAGCTCATTTTGTAGACAGTTGATCCCTCTATAAACTGCGTTAACAGTGTTCTATTATAACAGGATTTTGCTGCGCGGTAGCTATTTTACTGAAAAAAAACCAAATGTCTTAATCTAACAAATTTCAATAAGTTAAATTTTTTGGCCATTAACTTATGATTTGAGCATCTTGAAACCAGCCCAACTTGTTCAGATTTTTCTGCTCGTTCGACTCATGTGCAACGCGAATTTTTGAAATAGGGAACGAAACAAGAAAAAACTAAAATATAATAAAAGTTTAGTTTTTCGATTTTTTTTTATTGGGCTTTTTGTTTAAAATCGGTAACTCCCTCAGTTTTAGGCTCTAGGGCTTGAAAACTTGGGTTTATGGGTAACTTTCAACGCTTTATCTAATGAGATTATAAAATAATCGTTTTAATTTTTGACCATTTTATGGGTACTTTGGGTGATGCTGGATATCCCTTACGAATCCTTCCTTACGATATCCATAAAAAACAAAAAAGTAGAGTATCATGAACACCGTTACAAAAGAATTGCTTATGTGTCGAATGAAAGTTTTCTAGTCTCCTGAATTTTTTTGAGTAAATCTGAAAAATTTTAGGCGCTCACCTGGAAAACCTGGCAGGTATTTCGAATATTTTATTGACATCCCTGGATAAAGCCACATACCCTAATTGTCACACTTTTTAGGTTTCGTCTTTCGTGTTTTTCTTAGTTAATTAATCAGATACAGTAAAACTATTTATATAGCGACGTAGGCTTGCCGTAAAATATTTGAGTTATCGCTTGTATTGATTGAAAGTTTAGATGAGAAGGGTACATATTGAAGCGTAATATATCTAGGCAATATCGGGTGATCCATAATGCGTCGGTCACTTAGTATTTCGCTCATATCTCATTTGGATTTTATTTCCTAGACTTTATTGTTTTCTTAAAAGATATGCTGCGAAAATCTCTGCAAAATATATACTAAACCTATTTTTATGTACTCTTAAAAAGCTCTACCAAGTGTCTATATTTAAAACTCTTCGTAATCATAATCGGTTGTGGCAGAAATTTTTTCTTTTATCAACTTTTCCTAAAATCAACATTTTCCAACCGTAGTTTCGGTGCAGTTAAAATAACTTTTATAACTCGGTTAAAATCAAACATTTGGAGGTCAGGTTTGCTTTATCTCAAAGTAAAATAATTCTTTTTTTATATTCGTACAGAGAAAATTCAATATTTTCTCTTTTATTCCTATGTCCCGATGAAACAGACAAAATTCCCCTTTTTTTTGTTAAATTTTATCACAATCGTTCAAATGATATTCAAAATAGAATGAACAAAGGATCAAGAATCACTACAGTAATAATACCAACCGATATCTCTTTACAGCTTGAAAAAAATCCTCTCTCGCCAATAAAAAACTTGATATAGAACAATTCGTAACTTGATTGATTTCTGCATACTTGTTACTATCTCTAATAGCAGGCGCACTATTAGAGACTCACCACCCTCACCCTCGGCCAGCACATATGGCCGAGGACTTCATGCGCGATATTGATGCCGAAACACCAGAAGCAACGGCATTTTATGTAATCGATGAAAAGCTGAAAGAACAAGGTCGAAGTTGCAGGGATTTTGGTATACCATCACCAACATCTGTTCCTTATTCATTTGAATCAAAAATTATCAACAAGGAAGAAGAACTTCGAATAGGACAAGAAATGTATGCAATGTTCAATCAGGATCAACGTTCAGCGGCAGATGCAATTCTTGCAAGTCATCGTAAACAATCACCCACCGCTGCTGGCTCATGTTTCTTTATTGATGGTCCTGGAGGGACAGGAAAAACCTATCTCTATAACATCCTGTACCATTTACTCATGAGAGAAGGAGTCCATGTTATGACAGTTGCGTCGATAGGAATTGCTGCAAGTTTATTACCTGAAGGAAGAACTGTGCATAGTCGTTTCAAGCTTCCTGTACCTATCTTGGAAACATCTACATCCGGTATTCGACCAAACAACAAGCAAGCTGAAGAGATTAGAAAGACAGAAGTTTTCATTTGGGACAAAGCACCAATGGCTCCATCTTATGCTCTCAAGGCAGTTGATACTTTACTGAGAGATATAATGAACATCAATGTAAGGTGCACGCAAAGCAAAATTCGAGCAAAAAATTTTTTTTTCGATGTTTCGTACACCATTCGATAGAGAATTTTACGGCGATCAAGAATATGTGTTCCCCGAAAATTTTCGATGCTTCTTTCTATCGTAAAAATCAAAAAAACTTGAAGGGTGTCAAGAACTCGATTTTTCGCCGATTTGTTATAAAGTTGAATCAT